AAACTTTGTTTTAAAACCAATTTTTTTATAATTATACTTTTTCTATATATATATATATATATACACACACACACACTATAATATACTATAATATACTATATATCAGAGCCTAGGAACTTTCATGGTATATATGAGATAGATCTGAAGTATTCGACATAGATATGTTTCTTATGATGAATTTAGGAGAAACTAGTATGAAAATACTAGACTTGAAGAGGTAGATATACCTCAAAACCTTGATTTATTGAACAAATGGATGATTCCTAAAGTCCCTATTGGAACAATCTATGAATACGGATAGTTTGATAAACTTTCTTCAAAACAACTTGTTAAAACTACTGAGCAATCTTTAGCTTTAAATTCGTCTGAACAGACTATTCAATTGTTAAACAAGCATGATGTAGATTTATATAAAAATCAGTATAATTATCTGCATGTTGGTATGGTTCAAATTTCTTTTAAGCCATTAACCCTTAAAAGGTTACCAGAGACGTTTTTAGCTGCTCTCAGAGATGCTAGAAATCTGAATTTTAGACAGTCTCTAATGGGTTTTATTGGATCTACTGTGGCCTACGGTCCAGTATATTTTAATACTCAATCCAATCTTCAATTATCTCTATCTGATGTTAATATACTTGATGCCTTGACATAAATGTGAAAACGCATGGTTATAATTATACGCCTGGTTCTGAACTTATATGTTTATCATATAGAATTTATTTTAAATTATTATCTACGTTAAACTCTAGATGTAAATTATATGATACATCCGATCAGGCTATATTGGTAGAAACTAATTTTGCAAAGTCTAAGGTCACTACGAGGAGACCTATTCTTTATTAGAGGTTAATAACCGTCTTTTAAATAAAAATACAATTCCACAAAGAAATTCTTCTTTCGATGATTTAAAGATTGAAGTTGAAAACTTAAAAAGAGAGATCAAATCTCTTAAACAAAATCAAATGATTTGTGATAATAGGATTACTCAGATTGAGAAAATCAATTCTCCAGCTGAGAAATCTGATGATAAAAACAAAGGTATTTCTAAAAATGATATTGAGGAAAAACCTATTAAGAGTGATTCTCAACATGATATGTTTTTGGGAATGATACAAATTGTTACTGCTCATAGATGGTATATTAAATGTACTATTCTAATTGATAATAGTTTTTCTGTTACAAATATTGCTATGATTGATAGTGGAGCTGATGTTAGTTGCATTCAAGAAGGTTTAATACCTACTAAATATTTTCAGAAAACTACTCATATGGTAAAGTCTGCATCAGGACATGCTTTAGACATAGAGTATAAATTACCTAACACTGGTATTTGTCAAAATAAAGTCTGCATTCCTCACTTCTTTTTCTTAGTAAAAAATCAATTAATATCCTCCGATTATACTTGGAACACCGTTTATTAACGCTATTTATCCTTTCACCAGCATAGACTCAAAAAGTTTTTCTGCTACTTATAAAGATAAAGAGATAAGTTATACTTTTGTTACAGATCCTGTAACTAGAGATATAAATGCTTTAATTGATATAAAGCAAAGACATATTGATTCATTACAATTGGAATTGTTTAGTATGAATATATTCGACACTTTGAATTCCACTAAAGTGCAGGAAAAGATTAAATTGATTTCCGAAAATATTGCTATTGATATTTGTGCTAAGCATCCCAATGCTTTTTGGAATAGAAAAAACATATTGTCACTCTGCCATATGAAGATAATTTCTCTGAGGATATTCCTACTAAATCTCGACCTTATCAGATGAACGCTAAACTGGTAGAATTCTGCAAAAAAGAGATTGATAATTTGATACAAAAGGGTTTGATAAAACCCTCAAAATCTCCTTGGTCTTGCACAGCTTTTTATGTGAATAATGCTGCTGAAAAGGAACGTGGTACTCCTAGATTGGTTATTAATTATAAACCTTTAAATTAGTTTTTAAAGTGGATAAGATATCCAATTCCCAATAAAAAAGATTTATTGTCAAGATTACATGATGCCAATATATTTTCAAAATTTGATTTAAAATCTGGGTATGGGTAGATTCAAATATTTAAAGAGCATACTTATAGAACTGCTTTTAATGTTCCATTTGGGAAATATGAATGGAATGTTATGTCTTTTGGTTTAAAGAATGCCCCTTCTGAATTTCAAAAAATCATGAATGATATATTCAATCCTTATCTTAATTTTATCATTGTTTATATTGATGATATTCTCAAAAACATTTGAAGTGCATATTAAGCATTTAGATATTTTTAAAAGAATTATTATACACAATGCTTTGGTTATTTCAAAACAAAAAATGAGTTTATTCCAAACTAATATTCGATTTTTAGGACATTATATTTGTCAAGGAAAAATTACTCCGATTCAAAGATCTTTTGATTTTGCTTCAAAATTTCCCAATATTATTACTGATAAAACTCAGTTACAAAGATTTTTGGGAAGTTTAAACTATATATCACCTTTTTATAAAGATTTGTCTCGTTATTTAGCCCCCTTATATGATAGGCTAAAAAAGGATTATAAAAATCCTTGGACTGATAGTCATACTATTTTGGTTAAAAATATTAAGCAACGTGTTAAATCTTTACCTTGTTTGACCCTTGCTAATCTTGCATGGCAAAAAATTATCTATACTGATGCGTCCAATATTGATTACGGAGGGATTTTGAAACAGATAAATCCTAATAATAAGCATGAATATTTGATTAGATTTTACTCTGGAAAATGGTCTGAAGCCCAGAGAAAATACGCTACTGTGGCTCATGAAATGTTAACCATAGTTAAGTGTGTTTTAAAATTCCAAGATGATTTATACAATTAAAAGTTTTTGATAAAACCTGACGCACAATCTGTTAAATATATGTTTAACAAAGATTTTAAACATGATGCCTCAAAAATGATATTCGCAAAATGGCAGGCTCAATTGGCCCCTTTTAATTTTGAAATTCAATACAAAAAGGGAATTGATAATTCTCTACCGGATTTCTTATCTCGTGAATATTTGCAGGATGGAATCTCCATGGGATAGAGGTAGAGGTAGAGGATGGGGAAGATCATCCCCACATTCCAAATGAAGAACATCTCCTTCAGGATCGTCATACAGATCTACATCAAACTCCCCAGTTATACAAATGGGAAGAAAAAGTTTGACTAATGAGAAAATATCTCTCAGAGGCGAGTCCTCGATGATAGGACCATCCATCCACTTGGAAGATAATCCAGAAGATAGTCCGTTATATGCACACTTGCAGGCATATTAAAGTGATACTTTTGCTTCTCTTACAAAAGAGGACAATGATGATATCAAGTCCTATGAGAAATTGCCAAAAAAAAAAAAGAAATGATATTTCTTTTAGAAAATTCTGATATTCAGAGAAAAGAAGAACCATGGAAGATATTCCAAAGGTATTTGATAAAAGGATTATATTATCCGGGTGAGTCATACAAAACCCGCTCTTATTATAAAACTATACTCACTAGTACTGGTAGTGCAGAATTTTAACACTTTTTTGGTTATAGCACAGACGAGAACGTTTATAACTTCTCAAAGATCATAATCAAACAGATTATATCTATTGAAGATTGGGGAATATCCACGATGAAAGAAAGGCAGATAAGCCTTAACAAGTCCCGTATGAATTTTACCTATTGAGATTATATCCAGGCCTTTGATAAAATGCTTTACTACAATAATGATCGACACAAGCATACTTGGTTCATAAAAGTATGTGCAAAGATATTTGCAGAGCCCATTCCAAATTAGTTTAAACTGGTGGTCATACCACGGTCCGACAATAAAGATATTACCTTATCTATTTCTCATGTTATACAAAGAATGGACAAAAATTTCTCCAATTATAAATGAATTATACCACACAGATCATATCTGTTACCTGGAAAAGATTGACCAGATATATTTCTTTCTGGAATTCTCTATTCCTTGGATTCATAAATGGACTCCAAAAGTTGGATTCACCGAGGAACAAATTCCTTGTTTATACAGAACATTTTATAATAATTTCTAGGATAAACTAATGAAAAAAAATCCCAAAACAAAGACGTTATACGGTCAAGAACTCTTGGACTCCATCAAAACAAAAATCCAAGAATATTCCAACAACCCTCAAAAAGAGAAAGTTGATGATAGTTCAGTTCGGCATATTACCAGAAAGATCTCCTTTCAAGAAGGGGACAAAGAAAAAATGATCAACGACTATTTGGAAGTAGTAAAAAGAAATTTGCTTCGTTCCATCAATCAGTATGAGAAATTAGACACTTCGATGCAAAGTGACACCAGCAACAATGATATCGCAGATGATTCCCAACCTATTAAATCAGAAAAGATATTATCTGATGAAGCCTTACAAGATGCGGAAGAATTTCTCCGCAAAATGAAAGAGATGGAAAAGCGACCAGCACAGTGAAGCCGCCGGACCCAGCCGCTTGACCCCACTCAACAGTAGATAAACTGTTTCAACAGTAGAAATATTGTTCATCAACAGTAGAAACACTGTTTGCACAGTAGAAACACCATACAGGGACCCATATGGGACCCTATTTTACTGTTCATAGATTCTTTCTCTTTTCTATTTAAATGATTCATTCTTTCAGAGAAGGTAAGAAAGAAGAAAAAAACCCCTCTCTCTCTAAAATCTCTCTCTCTCTCTCTCTCTCTCTCTCTCTCTCTCTCTCTCTCAATTGTAATTAGAAGTTTGAATTGAAAAATAAAGTAAATAAAGTCTTCAATTCTTCATCTTGAGGCTTTGCATCCCGGCCAAAAGGTACTTATTTTTACTTATAGTTTTTTCGTCTAGTCTCTCCTCTCTGGCTGTGACTATGTCCGGCTAAGAGACTTCATACCTATGTTGAATATCTAACTTCTCTCCTATATAAACCATGAAAGAGACGACATCTATCAAAATATAAATAAATTTTGTATATAATTTCTTGACTTGGTTTCGAGATGGTTGGTACAGTCTAATATAGCACTACTCTTATTGACTTTGCCTTAGTGGCTCCATCTAGCCAGCCGTGAACCCTAGCCCAATGAATGAGTTGAAAAGGGCATCTTCTTTCACGGTTAGAACTGCTAGACACAGGGCTCAATGAGAGTATGTATTATATTAAGACAGACCCCTAGCTTGAGTAAAAGGTTTAACCTTCCATACAGTCATCAAACAACAACAACAACAACCCAGTATAATCCCACTAGTGGGGTCTGGTGAGGGTAGTGTGTACGCAGACCTTACCCCTATCCTGGGATAGAGAGGCTGTTTCCAAATGACCCTCGGCATCCTTCCCTCCAAGAACTATTCATCTTGCTCTTGGGGTGACTCGAACTCACAACCTCTTGGTTGGAAGTGAAGGGTGCTTACCATCAGAGCAACCCACCTTGTCGACCATACAGTCATCAAAATATATAAAAAAATTCAGGTATATTTCGATTCTTATATCCTTACTGATTGTGCGGATTACTGCCAGTATTTAAACATAAGGATGCTAAATTAGCTAGATTAAGAATTCTCGATCGTGTTAAAATAAAAGATCTTTAACTGGTGGAAACCTCGGTGGATATATAATAGTCAGCGGAGGTATGAAATAATTCCAGTTCCCGATCAATCGGTGATCTCTGTTTTAGCTCAGTTGAGAAGTCCGTGCGGATTATCGCCCGCCACTTGATCTAGGAACTTTCATGGTATATATAAGATAGATATGAAGTATTCGACATAGATACGTTTCTTATGATGAATTTAGGAGAAACTAGTATGAAAAATACTAGACTTGAAGAGGTAAATATACCTCAAAACCTTGATTTATTGAACAAATGGACGATTCCTAAAGTCCCTATTAGAACAATCTATAATTACGGATGGTTTGATAAACTTTCTTTAAAACAACTTGTAAAACTATTGAGCAATCTTTAGCTTTAAATTATTTTCTATACCATCTGAATTCACCATAATTATTTCTATACCATCTTTAGCTTTATTTACTTTGTTTTTCGATTACAAACTTCAAACTTCTAATTACAATTGAGAGAGAGAGATTTTAGAGAGGGTGGGGGGGGTTTCTTCTTTCTTCCCTTCTCTGAAAGAATGAATCGTTTAAATAGAAAAGAAAAAGAATTTATGAACAGTAAAATAAGGTCCCACATGGGTACCTGTACAATATTTCTACTATGCAAACAGTGTCTCTACTGTTGATGAATAGTATTTCTACTATTGAAATAGTTTATCTACTGTTGAGTGGGGTCCAGCGGCTCATAAAGGTATCTTTATACCATCTGAATTCACCTAAGGTCCTACATCTAAGACCATTAAGTAGAGTACGAACTGTCTCATGCTGATTGGTAAATCTACTATTAAAATGCTCTAAAATAGTAAGAACAAGGGTATAAACAGCATCTTCNTATATATCTTTATTACCATTTTGTTTCTCTAACTTCTATAAAAAAAATAAAAAAAAAAAAGAGAAAGTATCTGTTGGGCCCACTTAGACCCGGGACCGTTAGTTCGTGATCCCGGTCCCGAGCCGGTTCCAACAATAAGCCCGCAAAGCCCGGGACCGTTTAGGACCGGCCCGCATAGGACCGGGCCCGCGAAGCCTACTTAGAACTGGGCCTGGCCCACATGCCACCCTTATATGGGGATGGAGATGGTGGGCCCTAAGAAAGTCTCACATATCGTCTACTCTTCTAGCACGGAACGTCTGGGCCAATAACTGCCACTCCCACATATATGAAGACCTATGCTCGGCCTGTAACAATAGTAGCTCTAGCGAGGCAGGTCCGGGATGCAAAGGCGAAACCTCCATGACGACTACTGTAAATTAAACAATATTAATTAAAGTATTTTTCTTTTTCATTGCTTAAATATATTGCAATACCTTTAATATTAAAATTTATTCGATATTTTTACTAAACTGTTAATTAGGTTGATACATTTTCAATATTATAATTTATATTTTATATGTTAGTTTACTATTTTATATGTTTGTTTATTATTTAATATGTTTGTTTTTTATTTTATATGTTAGTTTTATTATTTTATATGTTTGTTTGTTACTCGCTTATTTTTTACTATAATAAAATTAAATAAATAATTTTCATAACTATACAAGATTTAATTATTAAATATTTACATTTTGGTTCCGGGTTCAATATTTGAGGCTCAGTAGCATCAAGTATCCGAATTCTTGTGTTCATGATGAGAAAATTTTCCTAATTTATCACTCAACATGGCTGTTATTTTATATGTTAGTTTATTATTTTATATGTAGTTTTATTATTTTATATGTTTGTTTGTTATGCACTTATTTTTTACCATAATAAAATTAAATAATTAATTTTGCATAACTATACAGGATTTAATTATTAAATATTCATATAACAATACTTAGTTGATAAAAATTATTGTTTTCTCATGTTATTTTTTATGTTTGTTGACCAGAATTGGAGAGAGTTTGTATTTGAACTAACAGCTTTTTGACGTATTTTTGGGTTTAAGAGATACTTAAATAATTAATTTCAATAACTACAAGGATACTACGCTAAAGGGCACTATATTTTACTACGCTAAAAGGGTACTACATTATAAATATGAGCACTACATTAGGCCACAAGATACCACTACAAGGAACTAAAGTAACAATTTATCTATTTTACTAGTCTTTTAGTAAATAAATAATCTAAACCGGATAAAAACAACAAATAAATTTAATTACAAAACAATCACGAAAATACATATACCACAATAAAAAGTAACTAATTAATATTTTTTTAACTAATAACAATCTCTATTTTACTAATTTTTTTAGAAGACTAATACTATAGTCCAGATAAAAAATAACAAATTAATTAAATCGCAAAACAATCATAAAATAATATAAAGCACATTAAAAATAACTAATATGTATTTTTATACAAGTTTTAACAAAAACTAAGTCGTAATAACTCGATTTAAAAATTTTAGAAAGTTGAAGATTTGGTAATTTGGAGACGAAACGAGCAACCCACTACGAGATAACGCGTTAGCTAGGATGTGAGACCTAGAATCTATACTTTTTGTGGGACCGATGGGCTCCACTCAAGCTTTTTTCATCAACAATTGGGAGGGGGGACCGTTGTTTCTTTTGTTTAATAGGGGGAGGGGGAGCTTCTGGCTTTGTGGGGAAGGGGACTAGACGGCTTTTTATGTGGGTATAACGCCTTATATTAAGACGTATAACGTCTTAATATAAGGCGCTATACCTTCCTGCTCTTTTAAGGTTCAAATATAGCACCTTTCAAAAGGGCGTTATAATTAATTGGAC